TCTCCAAGGTGCTGACCAGCTGACTGGGGGGCAGGCCCATGTGGCCCCTGCCTACTCTGCCTGACTCCTGGCCAGATCCTAGTGGCACCCCCACAGCCCCCTGATTCTGACTCATTAAAGGAGGCCCTTAGCTGGAGGGAGGGAGGGGCTGACAGCCAGGGCTGTGGGCCGCAGTGGGGCAGCCAGAGGAGGTCTGCTCCCGCTGGTGGAGCAAGGCCGACTCAGGGCTGAGTGGTGGGCTCTGTCACCCCCTGCCTCACCCGCTGTCCCTCCGTGCTCTTCTCACTGAGGTCTGCGGCCAGGGCCTGGGGTCTGGGCAGACTGAGGTTGGGTCTCAGGATGGAGGTGGGGCTCAGGCACATTTATCCCACTCACAATCCCCCTGGGGGGAAGACAATCACAATCCCCCTGGGGGCCTGGACTGAGCAGAATGTGGGAGACAGGCTCCAACCCCATAACTTTAGTAAAGACCTCCCCGTAACTCCGCTTCCCTGAGACTGTGGATTCAGGCGGTATCAGGGGATCTTTTGCTGGTGCCAGTATGAGTGTGAGTGAGAACCTGGGAGGCTGGGGAGCTGCAGGGCACATTCCTGGCCCCAAGAGGTAAGTGAGAGCAGGCCGGACAGTGGCAGGAAACAGCTGCTATAAATCTGCCCTCTCTCCTGGATCTGCCTTCCTGGGGGGATGGAGGTGCTGAGAGGAGGGGCCTGAGGTGGCTAATCCCTCTGGCCGCTGCCCTGCCCATCTGGTTCTGTGTCTGGGCCTTGGCCTCCACCAGCTGTTACCAAACTTTCTTTGTCTGGAGTCAGAGCCAGAGCCTCTGGGGCGGGAGGGAGCCAGGACATGCTGAGCCTTAATCCAGACACGTGGCTTAATCCAGAAAAGATCAGCTCGAGGTTTGGGAGCTGGACGCATCGCTCAGGAGACGGGCAGCCCCTTGGGCCTGGCCAGCAGAGGCAGTTGGGAGAGCTGGGCCTGCCGTCTGAGAGACCTGGACCTGGCAAACGTCAGGCTTGTCTCAGGACCCTATGGAACCATAAGGGTCAGCAGGCCTCTAGTCTGGTCCTGGCTCTGCTGTGTGACTAGGGGCACATCCCTGCCACTCTCTGAGCCTCATTTTTCCCAGGGCACATGTGTCCTCATGGACAGACAAGCACCCATGAATGTAATCACGGCTGAATTGCATGGCACAGATGTGGAGACCTGGGAAGTCAGAGGAGGGAGATGTTGGGGAGGGCTTCTTGGAGGAGGAGGGCTTTGGGCTGAACTGTGATGAGAAGGAAGGGGCATCTTCGGCAGGGGGACAACAACACAAGAGAAAATAGCCATGTCGTGCCCACAGCACAAGGGCCGAGGGAGAAACACTGTCCTCATTAGATCCTGGATATGGTCACCATGTTGATGGATCTCTGGTTCTGGTTCAGACCTTGCCACTAACCAGCGAATGAATCCCTTCCCTGCTCTGAGCTTCGTTGTTCCTATCTATAAAACGATCACATAATATGCAGTCCCTTCCAGCTCTGATTATCTGCGCTGGGTAGGAGGTGGGCTCAGAGGTGGGCACCAGCCATAGACATCAGGCAGGGTAGGCAATGGGGAGCCATGGGAGGTTCTTGAGCACAGGGGTGCCCGATGAAAGCGTGTTAGAGGGAAATGAGCTTGACAGTGGGGTGGAGTGAGCAGCTGGGAGGCGGGAATGGACTTTGGAAGATCAAGCTGGCCAATCAGGAGGTGGGAAGGACCCTGGGAAGATGGGACGGGCCACAGCAGGAGCCCCAGAGGGAACATGGTACGATGAGCAGAGCCCACACATGGTCAGCTGGGGACCTCAGGCAAGCTGCGTAAGCTCTCTGAGCCTCACTGTCCGCATCTGTAAAATGGGCTCTCGAGTGCACGTCACCCGGGCTGTGGGTAGGAAAGGGGGTCACATGCGTGGGTGCTCTGGGCATAGGAGGCGCTCACTGTGCAGCTCTCCCTTCCCTCCCGAGTCCAGCCCTGGGTCCTGGAGGAGATGCTGGAGTTGCAGACTGGGCCCACCAGCCCCTGGCTCCCTGACCAGTAAACCAAGGTCCATCCAGACCTGGCTGCTGGGGTCAGAGCATTCCCCCCACCTCCCCACCTGCAGACAATCAGATCTCTCCTCCTGCCACACAGTTAATCATTAACTTATTTCTCACCAGGGAGGTGTTGGAGCTGGGAGCAAGCCTTGGTTGAGAACAGGTCCCTTGGCACTTAGGAGCAAGGTGACTTGGGGAGCTGGAATGTGAGGTGTGGAGGACGAGGCAGGAATTCTCTGCTGGTGAAGGAGCCCTGGGCCAGGCGTTGGAAGCCCTGGCTCCAAGTCCCTCAGCTATCTGTAGCTGAACCTCCCCATCCACAGAATCGGAGTGAGAACAAGGCCTGGGGAGGGGACAGGTGCGAGGGCTGTGAAGGTGACTTGACAAATGTGTCAGGGTTGTGTCATCACATCCCAGCCTGACAAACACTGCCACCTGCCCTGCCCATTCATCCTCACTGACCCCTCATGCCACAGTGCCCGGAAACATAGCAGCTGCCTCCCGTCCTACCTGTAGCTGAGGCCCAGCAATAGGAGGCCGCGAAGGAAGCAAGTTCTCCTGCTTGGAAAGATTTCTGTCTCCCTGGCATAAGGCCCAGGGTGTTGGCAGAGACTGTCCTAACGTGGCAGGGCTGAGAGCTCTGGGGACGTGGACGGGGAGGGAGCTAGGCAGGGGGTGATGAGGGAGGGGTGGGGGGTTGAGAGGGGCTCTCCAGGGGTGGGGCTACCTAGGGGGTAAGGCGTGGGCACAGGCCAGGGTAGGGACCCAGGGACAGAGCGAGCTGTTGGTGCTGCCTGGGTAAATAATACGGGCCCACAGCACACACGTGTGTTTGCACAGAAGGACTTGAAATGATTCCAGGCCTACCCTCTGTCCCCCGCAGCCCCGGCCCCCCTTCCATCCCTGCGCACCCCACCCCACCCTGGCCTTTCCTTCCTTGTCACTTAAAGGAGCCCTTAAAAGAGAGAGTTGAAATCAGAGGGAACACCTTTCTATTTTTCTGGTATTCTCTCCGCCACAGGAAAATGCAGGGCTGCCATGTAAAGTGGGGAAGGTTGAGGACAGCGCAAGAGAGGGGATGAGAGGGAGCTGAAATTCCTCCTGGGCTCCATTCACTGAGCTGTGCTACCCAGAAAGAGAGGGTCTCGTTTTCTGAGTTGTACCAAGGTGTGGAACGGGCTAGCTGCAGCCCTAGAGGAGCTGGAGGTGTCTTCCGAACAGTTCTTTCCCTGTCCCACCTGCAGCGACAATGCCACTCACGCTGAGGTTGAGCAGGTCAGTCCCATGGGGTGACTGGAGATGCTCCAGGGAGCCCCCACTCTGTCCCAGTGTGGCCCCAGAAATTCCACCAGTAGAGAGTCTAGTGGTCCTTTGATGAAAGTCTCTCCCTCTTGCTGGCCTGATGCCATTAAAGCCGGGGTTCCCAAACTTGCCCATGCCTCACAATCGCCCAGAGGGCCTGCGGAAACGCATTGCTGGGCGCCCCCACCCCACCCCGGAGCTTCTGACTCAGGAGCTCTGAAGAAAGCCTCAGAATGTGCATTCCTAACAAGTTCCAGGTGCTGCTGGTACTGCTGGTCCAGATGCCACGTTCTGAGAACCACTGCTTTCAAATATAAACACCCCTGAGAAAGGACACACATGAGCAGGCGCTCCTTCCCTCCTCTCTGAATGGCCCCCTGTGTTATTGGGGGCGTATGTTTGTTGGTAATCCTTCACCTCTGTCCTGATTTATTCTTGAGTCTCGGGCCCACAAATCACAGAAATATCCCAGAAACCCCGGTATTCTGGTATCCGGACATCTCTCAAGGGCCCCGCCTCACCTGAACCACATACTCCAATATGGGGTTCAGAGAAAAGGCCGGGCAAAGCAGAGCCTGGGTGACCAATGGGAAGGGAGGCCTCCAGGTCCTCGTGTTGAGCCCAATGGCAGGGAGGAGAGGGTGTCTGAGTGGCTGAGGGCCTCTGTCGTTCCCGGAGCCTGGGCCTTCTCACCACCCCCAGCCCCCCTACACCCTGCACCCCACCCCGAAAGCCGGGCCTGGAGGTCAGCACGTGGGCACCGCCTCGGGCAGCTGCACGTCCCTCCAGGGCGTGAGGGGAGAGGAGAGGGCTCTGAGAGCAGGGAGGGGCCTGGGGGCTGCACTTTTCAGGGGAGGACCACGTGGGGTGCATACAGGAACCCAGCCCTGAGCGGGGGCCAAGCACACCAGCAAGTAGTTGCTCAGTGGCCACCTCAGCAGCATGACTCTGGGAATTTATTCACACCCCCCAAATGGCCCTGTGGGAGGGGGACATGGCCCCTCCTCCCCAACTCGTGAAGGGATTCTACCCTGCCACACCCCTCCCTTGCTCCTTTCTTCCTTCACCTGGCTGGTGAAGATGGTGGTAGCCTTCTCCCTTCCTGACCCACTTCAAGGGCAGAAAAAACGAAAACAAGCTTTGCTACAGCAGGAAAGATTTAGATTAGCTCTCAGAAGGAACTTCCTCCACAGAATGGCAGGGACTAGGATCTGGGTGTGGGCCGGCCGAGAGACAGAGGGCTGGACATTAAAGGCTCTTTGTCCAGGCCTCAGTTTGCTCATCTGCCAAATGGGGCTAATCGTGCCTTCCACTGTGAGGACTGCGTGAGGTCAAGAACCCCAGAAGGTTGTTCGAAGCACATGACGTGTCAAGATTGGCTGCTCCCAGCCAACCTGGCTCCCTTGGGGGAGAGGGAGCTGTCCATTTACAGTCCTACCCTCCTCCCATCTCACTCTCTCCCAGCCAGAAGGCCAGTCTGCCCAGCCCTGGCCTAGCTGCCCAGTGACCCGGAAGCCCCAACTCTCTCCCAGGCCCAGCTACTGCCCACAGGGCCCCTCATCCCTGTAACCAGCTTAGCAGCCCCCACGGGGACAGGGAAGCAGCCAGAATCTGACTCTCCCTCCTCTTTGATCTCTGCAGACGCAGACGCCGGGCCGAGCAGCAGCGGCATGGGCAGCGCTAGCCCGGGCCTGAGCAGCGTGGCCCCCAGCCGCCTCCTGCTGCCCCCTGACACAGTGTTGCGGACAGGCCTGGAGAAGGGGGCCGTGGGGGCAGCAGGACCTGAGAGCCGGGACTGGAGCCCCAGCCCACCTGCCACACCCGAGCAGGGCCTGTCCGCCTTCTACCTGTCCTACTTTGACATGCTGTACCCTGAGGACAGTGGCTGGGCCGCCAAGGGCCCCGGGGCCAGCCCCCGGGACGAGCCGGCTGAGGAGCCTGAGCAGTGCCCCGTCATCGACAGCCAGGCCCCCGGGGGCAGCCTGGACTTGGCGCCGGGCGGGCTGACCCTGGAGGAGCACTCCCTGGAGCAGGTGCAATCCATGGTGGTGGGCGAGGTGCTCAAGGACATCGAGACGGCCTGCAAGCTGCTCAACATCACCGCAGGTGAGCCCCTCTGCACGCCCGCCTCCATAAGGCGGGCGCAGGCAGAGCTGAGGTCGCGGGGAGGGGGACGCTGCCTGGCCCAGCCTCAGGCAGCCCCAGGATGCCAGTCCTTCTACACATACAATCAGCCCAGGACACACAGCAGCTGTGAGCCTGGGCTGGCAAGGTTCCAGCCCTCTCTGTGCCCCAACTGCACCAGCCCAGTGTCCCCAGGTAGGTGATGGATGAAGTGAATTCGAGTTCTCCACCGTCTGGCCCACCACTTCCTCTCGGGCTCATCGCCACTCTCCTCATTCGCTCTGCTCCAGCCACACCTGTCTCTGCTGTTCCACAACACTCACACCTCAGGACCTTTGCACCTGCTGGTCCCTCACCCTAGAACCTGGCTCACCCCTCACCTCCTTTAGGTCTTGACTCAAATGGCACCATCTCAATGAGGCCTTCCCTGACCCCCGCTATTGACATTGCTGCCTATACCCCCGCCTCTTTTTCCTCCTGCCTGCTTTCCTTCTCTCACAGCACAGACCATCTGATATGCTGTGTATTTTATTTATTTATCTTGTTTACTGTCTGTCTCCCACCCTGGAATGTACACACCCCAAGGGCAGGGGATTTCATTTGTTTTATTCACGCTACATCCTCACTTCCTAGGCTGGCACCTGGTACATGATAGATGCCCGAGAAACAGTAGCTTCTTTATATGCCAGGCCCTGTTCTGGCACCGGGGGATTGAGTGGTAAACACAGCGCAGAAGCCCCTTCATTCGTGAAGCTGACAATACAGTGAGGGAAACAGATCATAAATAGATAAATGTGTCACTGGTCCAGTGGTGATGACGGAGGGGACATTAGGAGGCTGGGCGTGAGTGTGTCTGCCAGGGCCTAGAAGGTGTGGTTGTGGAGCTGATGCCATGGGTCAAGGGGCTGCTGGGTCTCTAGCCCCTGTTCCTCCATCGTCTCTCCAGCTTTGGGCAGGCCTGGCTCACCTCCTGGCCTTCGGATCCTGGCATTTGAACGTCCCACTCTCTGTGCTGCTTTCACACAGGAGGGGTCTCAGGCATCCCTCAGGCCCAGTACCTCCTCCCCGGAGTCATCTGGGCTCAGCCCCTGCCCCCCAGCAGTCCCAACTGGTGTCCCCTGGAGGCAGCTCCTGCCCATGCCCCAGTCCTCCGGGTGCCCAATACCCAGGCCTGGCCCTCCCAGGGAGGTTCTCCCACGGGGCCTCCGCTCCCACACTGGCCTGGGGAGGGGCCTGCCCTCTGAACAATGGGAACAGAAACAAATTGCTTTGACCCTGGAGAGGAAAATGGGTTTATTAAGTGGGGGCAGCCCGGTCTGCAGGTCACCCGGCTGGGGCACCAGCTTAGATCACGAAGTTCTCTTGGAGGTCCCATTGTGACTGTGCCCACAGCCTAGCCCCCACCCGTGTGCCCTGCCGGGCTCCCCCCAGAGCAGCTCCCTAGAGAGACATCTAGGACCCAGCCAGTGACTCCCCTCCCGGCCCCTGAGGCCTGTAGCTGCCCCATGACCACCCTGTGCCCTGACACTCATTCATTCGGTGCACGTGCTCTGAGCAGCTACTAGGCGCCCAGCCCTCTGTTGGGTGTTGGACAAGGGGATGGAAGTCTTTGTGCCTCAGTTTCCTCATCTGTAAAATACAGTGGGAGTTGGGGGCGGGCGTTGAGGGCTAATTCCTGGTTGGGTTTTTCTCTGGTTCCTTGAGGGGTTTGGGGAAGGCAAGAGGCATATGGGAAAGAAGCTCGGGTGTTTCTGGTTTAATGTCACTGTCCCCTCCAGGGCTGAGGCTCCCCAAAAGGTCCTTTGGAGAGGCTGGAAAGGTCTGAGAGGACTTGAGGTCTGGGTGGAGTGGGGGGTACAGAGGCCCCAGGCTACCCTACCCCAAGCTGAGTTTGTTTTTAGGGCCCTGGCTCCTCCCTCTCACTCCCCTCTCTTCTTGGGTACCCCCCTCCACAGGGCCCCTCAAGGCCTGTCTGGCCTGGCCTGGCCTCACCCCAGGAGTGCATGGTCCCAGACCACTAGTGCCCACTGGCGCCCCATCAGAGCAGAGCGGGCCACATTCGGGGTGGTGCCCTCAAGCAGCCCCTGGGGCTGAGGGAGTGTCTCTTGCCTAGACCCTGTGGACTGGAGCCCTGGCAACGTGCAGAAGTGGCTCCTGTGGACGGAGCACCAGTACCGGCTGCCCCCCGTGGGGAAGGCCTTCCAGGAGCTGGGGGGCAAGGAGCTGTGTGCCATGTCGGAGGAGCAGTTCCGCCAGCGCTCGCCCCTGGGTGGGGACGTGCTGCACGCCCATCTGGACATCTGGAAATCAGGTGGGACATGGCGTGGGTGGGGTCCCTCCCAGGCTCCAAGCCAGGGGTCCCGATGGGGACAATTAGGCCATGATGTCGGCCAGGAGGTTACTCTCCTCTGGGGAAGAAGCCCCTTGGTCTCAGTCGGGGCTCCGTTCTGAATCCCAGCCCCAGTTGCAGCTGCCTGCCTGTATCCTGGGTGAACTCACCAGCCCCGACCCACTCCCAGCCCTGGTCAAGCCCCCAGAACTTAGGGAAGAGCACGTGGGAAGTTAGACTGTCGAGGACACAGGATCTCAGAGCCAACGGGGACCGTGGATACCATGAAGCCTTTCCTCTTCGTCCTCTTGTTATTTTGTTTGTTTGTTTTTTATTAAAGAAGTAATGAGGTAATAAATGTGCAGGATTGAAAAAAGACCACAGTGAAAAATAGTCTACCATGAGAAGTAACTCTGCCTCCCACTCCTGACCCCCAGCCTTCTAGTCCCCTCCCTGGAGGCAACCACTGTGACCATTTCTTGGCTGCCTTGCCAGGGAAAGTCTGTGCATATACAAGCAATTAGATATGTGTGTGTTTTACCCTTTTTTAAAACATGAATAGTATCAGAGTATCACCCTGTTCTGCGCTTAACAGTGTATCTTGGATCTTGTTCCCCATCAGTATCTATACAGCTGCCTTGTTTTCAACGGCTGTGTGCCAAGCCCTTCATGTTTAAATCGTCTCAATCTCACTGGGCACCCACAGTGTGCCCGGCACAGAGCCATCCATGCCAGTGCTTGCCCCTGCCATTAGGGGTCTGGGATGAATAAGGGGACAAGACCCACTCATATGCCCAGTCAGAGACCAGTGGTTGCAAGGGCAGTGGACAGTGCCAGGCTGAGAGCCGGGTGGTATGTGGGCAGACGTTGGCTGCCTTTGCCCCCTCTGCCTGGTCTGGGGGTGGGAGAGACGGGGAGGGGGCCAGGAGGAGAGCCGGAGGGGACGGAAGAGCTCGGTGAACTCTGCAGTGGGAGGGCACTGTGCAGACTTCATCACCCTGGATCCTGGCAGGACCTGTGAGGGGGTCCTGGCCCCACTTCACAGGTGAGAAAAGGGAGACAGAGCAAGGCCCTTCCGCTCTCCAGTCTGGACAAGGACTGCGTGCAGGGCCTCTATGGCCCCTCCCAGCTCCCAAATCCTCAATTTTCTTCCAGGCAGCACCTCTGTAAACAGCTTGTCTTCCCAGACTGGCAGGAGGAGGGGAGCCAGAGGGGAACCTCCAGCCGCAGGAGGGCTTCTGTGGCCCCACAGCCCCACCCAACGCCCTCCTGGACCCATGGGGTCTCTCCTGGGTCCCCAACTTTCTCTCCTTGTCCCGCAGCGGCCTGGATGAAAGAGAGGACTTCCCCGGGGACGATTCACTTCTGTGGTGAGCTGGCGCTGGGCAGGGAGGGGCCGGCCCGGGGTCTGGAGTTGAGGGGGGGCTGCCACTGAAGCAGGGGGCCCCCACTCACCGCTCCCCTCCCTGGCCGCCCAGCCTCGCCCAGCGAGGACAGCTGGGCCGACAGCGAGGTGGACTCGTCCTGCTCCGGGCAGCCCATCCACCTGTGGCAGTTCCTCAAGGAGCTGCTGCTCAAGCCGCACAGCTACGGGCGCTGCATCCGCTGGCTCAACCAGGAGAAGGGTGAGCGCGGCCCGCGCGGGCCACGGGGGCCGGGGCGCTGGTCAGCGGGGGCCCGCCGGGCTCCCTCCCGGCACCGGGCGCGGGGCGGATCGGGGGTCGGGCAGAGGGGTGGAGCTGCCCCCACCTTGGCCCCGAATGCCAGACGCGCTGCCGTCCTTGGACGGGACGGGAGTCTGTGCGCAGTTTAAGGCCACGTCCGTCCCCCAGCCAAGCTCTTGTTTGGGATCCCCAGCCCCGCACAGCGCCTGGGACATAGCAGGGGCTTAAAACTGCTGAGAACGGGACACAGTCTCTGCCCTAAAACATCCTAGCTTCACGGGGGAGCCTGATGGTGTCCAAAGAGAAATACAGTGCGAGCCTCCTATGCGATAGGTAGCCACATTAAAAAAGTTTTTTAGGGCCGGCCCTGTGGCTTAGCGGTTAAGTGTGCGCGCTCCGCTGCTGGCGGCCGGGGTTCGGAACCGAGCGCGCACTGACGCACCGCTTGTCCAGCCATGCTGAGGCCACGTCCCACATACAGCACCTAGAAGGATGTGCAGCTATGACATACAACTATCTACTGGGGCTTTGGGGATAAAAAGGAGGAGGATGGGCAATAGATGTTAGCTCAGAGCTGGTCTTCCTCAGCAAAAAGAGGAGGCTTAGCATGGATGTTAGCTCAGGGCTGATCTTCCTCACAAAAAAAAAAAATTTTTTTAAACAGGTGAATTTATTTAACCTAATATTATAAAGTATTATAATTTCAACATATAACCAATATAAAAATTATTAATGAGATGTTTTCACTAAGTCTTTGAGATCTGGTGTGTATTTTACACTTACAGCACATCTCAGTTCGGACCCGCCACATTTCAAGGGCTCAAACATGTGGCTGGTGGCTACCTCAGTGAACAGTGCAGAACTAGACGGTGTGCATGTGAGTGTTTTGGAAAAGGCTCAGAGCCAGGAAACCTGGGTTCCAGGCCCCATTCTGCCATCAGTAGCTATGGGTGCCTGGACCTCAGTCTTCTTATCTGTGAAATGGACTAGATTCATTCATCCAACAAACCTTCATTGAGCACCTCCTCTGGTTCCGCACTTGCTCAGCCGACATTTACAGAGAATGTTCTGAGGGTGCCGGGAGGATTCAGCTGTCCCCCATCCTCGAGGGTCCTACAGTCTTGTAGGAGAACTAGCAGTGAAATGAACTGGTGTACAGAGCATGTCGGGGCTGCGACGGGGCAGTGGGGGCAGCTGTGCCCGGGTCCAGAAGGACTTCATGGAGGAGGTGACTTTGGAGCTGAGTGGGGAGGATGAGAAGGTGCTGGAGGGGGTAGAGAAGTTCCTGCACAAGACGTGGTGACCCTGTGTGTATATTTGAGACTGAGAGGGAGCCGGTCCTCTGGGGAGACAGTCCCATGATAGAGTTCTAGGAAAGGACATCAGGGAGGTGATCTGGGAAGGCTGCCTGGAGGGGGTGTGCTGACCCGGGCCTTGCCAGGAGGTCTTAGGTTGAGAACTGGGGGTATTAACAATGTAATAGCCCGTCCCAAGAGGCACTTCCTTCAGGCTCCACTCTAAGCACTTTCTGTAAACACTCAACAACATGGTAGTCACTATAACCCCCTCTTACCGACAGAAAAAAGGGGCCTCAGGCAGCTTCTAAAGGTAGAAAATGGCAGAGCCAGGATTCAAACCCAGGTCACCCTGGCTCCAACTCTTTCCACCACGTCCTCTGAATTAATCCTGCCAGAAAGGGCTTCGTGGGCTGAAGTATCTGAGAAGGCAAAGAGGTCTTTCAGGCTTGGGAACTGCGAGGGGAAGGCAGCGGGGGTGGGGGTGGGGGGTAACCTTGCCAAATGAGCCCTGGGCACAGCCCGGAGCCCCATGGGACAAACCCTACAACAGGAGCAGAGGCTGGCAAGGGCCAGGCCCTCCAGGCCCCAAATAACCCACTAACGGACACTGGCTCCCCTGCATCCAGGAGGTTGTGACTCCACAGTATCATTTACCACTTACTGGGCCTGTGGCACACTCTGCACGCATTTCTTTAATCCTCACCACAGCCTTGGGAGGAGGTGTGATGCCCCCACAGCCTGGCCCCTGCCCCAGCCGACACTGGCTCTCTCGGCCTTCTGAGAGACTGACCTGTTGGTCTCGGTCTTTCTCCTTCCTGCCCTCCACTTGCACGGCTGGCTCTCTCCGGCCCCTCCTGCTCCCCCAGGCATCTTCAAAATTGAGGACTCCGCCCAGGTGGCCCGGCTCTGGGGCATCCGCAAGAACCGGCCCGCCATGAACTACGACAAGCTGAGCCGCTCCATCCGCCAGTATTACAAGAAGGGTATTATCCGGAAGCCCGACATCTCCCAGCGCCTCGTCTACCAGTTTGTGCACCCCATCTGAGGGCTGAGGGCCAGGCCTCGGCCTGAAACGTCCCTCCTGCCTGCTCCTGCCCTGGCCGGACCCTGAGCCGGGGGAGAGGGCCGGCGTCTGCCAGCATTCTGAGTCCAAGGTCAGGGAGGGCATGGCCCACCGCTCCCAGGGGCATAAGTCAGCTTTCCGAGGCCTGAGTGGGGGTGCTTCCTCCTGAGGCCTGACTGATCACTTGCCCAGCCCCCCAGGGCATGGAGGGAGCAGGGGTGAATAGGGAGGGCCCTCCCTCCACCCGAGCCTCTGACCCCAGGATTTCCAGAGCAGAGCCGGCAGAATGGCAGTGACTTGGCCAAGGCTACTAGAAGTCCAGTGCTCTGTGCCGCCCATCCTGCACCATGGATGCATGGTGCACCCCTGAGTTGGAGACGTCCACACCCCTGAGTTGGGGTGCCAGGGGTACCCCTGGGAACAGATAATAAAGATACCAGAGAACTGACACCACCCCAGTGTCTGTGCAGTGAGTCAGCAGGACAGCTCAGAGGCCATCAGTGCTCAAAGTGGTTGTGGTCACAGGGGCCTGGGGTGGTCATGGGAGGCTTCCTGGGGGAGGTGGCATTGAACTGAGCCTAAAAGGAAAGGAATACTTGATTGGTAGAAGCTGTGGGAGGGAGGCAGTGAGTCCTCAAGGCCAAGGAGGGGCTGGAATGGGTCTCATCTCCCCCCACCCTGGTGTGGGCCGAAAGGAGGGAGGGCCCTGGGGTTGAAGAGGGTCTACCATAGGACTGGAGAGAAGGCGGCGTCCTCCGCACCCTCTTGCTCTGCTGTAGATCAGGGCTTTCTGCTTGCGGTGGGCCAGGGGGCTGACTCTCCTGAGAGGGGTCCCAGAGCCCTTGTATCTGCTTGGCCAACCAAGGGGGCTCTGGGGTGGGACAGCAGGGGTGCAGGAGAGGGTGGGCGCTTCAGTCCCCTTCGTAGGACGCTGGCTCTACAGCGAAGAGAGTTCAGTTGATCTGTGGTTTCTCCCTCTTGAGCAAGGTCACAGACCCAGCAGCGCCCTCTGTGAGGCTGCGAGCCCTGTGAGCGGGGTGTGCGGGGGCGAGCACGTGACAGAGAAAGGGTGTGGGGTCACAGCGCGCGTGTGCTGGCGGAGATGAGGACCCACCACCCAGTCTCCCGGGCAAAGCAACTCACTCAGCGTCCTCGTGCTTCGTTCACATTCGTTCACGGGCTCACGTGTCCTGAGGGCTGACTACCCGCTAGGTGCTTCCACTACTTTTTGTCATTAGCCTTCCCAACAAAACTGTGAGGGAGGGGCTGCTCCCCCATTCTACAGAGGATGAAACTGAGGCTCAGAGCGGCTAAGAGACTTGCTCACAGTCCTGCAGCCCATCAGTGGCAGAACCAGGAACTGAACCCACAAGGACAGGGCTCTCTCTGCCCCTCCATGCCTCCTGCTTCGTGACTGGTCAGTGCCCTTAGCCTCTGTAACCCTTAGCTTCTGATGACTTGCTTCCAGGAGACAGGACAGGAGCCAGCCAGGGCCACCCAGACCACTGAGGGTTAAATGCTGCCCTGTCCTGCTGCCTTCTGCCCTCAGCAATTTTATTGTCTCCAGAAGAAAGTTTACTCCTGGCAGTGAGCAAACAGCACCTTGGCATCTGTCAGCTGGGATTGGACCCGGAGGAGGAGGGGGCCTTGCCGCAGGCCTGTGCCTCGCTGGGCCCCTGCTGTCTGCCCACCCCCAAGGAGGGGGCAGACTGGGACCCTGGCCAGGACCAGCTCGGCTCTGTTCAACTGGTTTTGTCTCCAGCCTGCCCGCCCTGCCCCCAGCTGAGTCCCTGGAGCCACCAGCTGGGCCTGGGCCTGGAGAGGCCTCATCTCAGGCTGGGATGCGGGGGAGGAGAGGGGGATTAGGGGCTAGGAGTGGGAGCTGGAGCCGCTCCAGAAAGGGGAGCTGTGGGGAGTTGGGTGGGGCAGCTCCCTGTTGTGTGGCTCTGCCACGAGGCACACGTCTGCTTGGCAGGGACACACCCATCCAGAGACACCCTGTATGCTGGCAGCGAACTTCGGATTCCTCTTCCTCCTCCGCACACCTGCCCGTCAGAACCCCATCTACCCTAGTTGTTCCCTGACCCTCTGCATGGGACCCCACCTCCTGGGCTCCCCATAGCTGCGTGGAACAGCCTGCACAAGTCAGACGAGGCAAACTTTGTCTTTATTTGAAGAGTCCTTGTTTGGCTAAAACCAGGGGCTTGTCACTAGAGGCCGATTTAAGGGATGAAGGAGATGGGGTGGGGAACAGATTCAACCCAATTGATCCCTGCTCCCTGCCCTGGGCGCGCCCTGAGGCCGGGAGAGAGCTGAGGTGAGGAGACAGTAGTAGATTTGCCTTGAGTAGTGGGTTTGTGTGGGGCCTGCCGGGCTGCCGGGGCGGGGGCCAGAGGGGCCTCCGAGAGACATCTAACCAGCAGGAAGCTGACGCCCCGGTGGGGATGGGGTGGGGACACAGGGAGCTGATGGCAGAACGGGGACTGGACCTGGGACTCCTGCCCTGTCCCAGGAGATATCCCGCCGGGGGCGGGGAAGCTGGGGCAGGAGCTGGGCCTGGGCAGGGGCTGGGCCTGGGCCTGGCAGAACAGAGTTGAGCGCCCAGAACCCCGGTCCTGCCCCCTCCCCTGAGAAACGCTCCTGGAGGAGCCCTCCCAGGGGTCCCACACAGAAATGCAGGCAAGACACAGGGAAGGGTTGCAGGGCCTGATGTCACACCATAGGGAGCCTGGGACTGTGGACTACCGGGAAACACAGGCCTCAGCAGTCACTTTTAGAATTTTGCCTTAAAAACTGAAACCTCTTTGGGGGTCAAATTCACCCTTGAACCGTGAGTTTGGGACCCCAAATACCCAAGCTCTCTTGGTCAGTCAAGCACCCGGGACCCTAAAGGCCACAGCTCAAGAGCCTCAGAGAGCAGCTCATGTAACCCTCTCTGTACAGACAGGCCCTGGGCTCTGGAAGGTGAAGGGGCCAGCCCTCAGTCCTCCAGCCGCTGGTGACCAGCCAGGACAGCACCAAGTTGTGCTGGGCCCCACCTCCCGACAGACATCCCGACCACAGGCAACTCTCAGGGCTCGGAAGACACATGACTCAAGACAACACGGTCCAGCCAGGTTGACACAGTTCTGGATTTTATCCACAGTCATACAATCACAACTTACAGATATATATATTTGTATTTATATACCTTTAAATTACACAGTCATGTACAAAACAGGTGCATTGCTGAGACCACAGCACTTCTCGGAGTTTCACAAGTGTCGGACTAATGGAGTCAGAAGCCTAGGGCGGCAGACGGCGGGTGTGGCAGAGCCAGGCCGCAGAACGGTGGTGAATGGGGACAAAACACTTTAGTCGCTGAGCCCCACAGGGCGGGCCCGTGCAGCATCAAGGGTGGGGCAGGGGCTACAGGAGGCAGTGGGCACGGTGAGGGGCGTGGCCCCCCCACTGGGTGTTGAGTGCCCTGACACCAGCACTGACAGGTGGGGCTGGGCCCCGGAGCTCAGGGGACTGTCAGGTGGGAGACCCTCCCACTCCAGGGTCCTGAGGAGCCTGGGGACCAAGAGAGAGTGGTCCCAAATGGGGCCGTGGAGATGGTTGCTCAGAATGAATGGGGTTTTGAGTCCTTGCCCCAGAGTGGGCAACTAGAGTGCTGAGGGGGACAGGCCTGGGGTCCAGCCAGGGCCACAGCCCCTCCCCATGTGCCGGGAAGCCACTGGCACAGAGAGGGGGAGCCCAGGCCCCAAGGTGCAGGTGCCTGCTTCCTGCCTTTCAAGGGTACGGGGTGAGGGGCCGACGCCCCTAACCCCAGCTCCTGCCTGGGGGGAGGCTGAGGGGCTTTTGTTCTGGAGTCTGAGGGCTTCCAAAATCTTGCCTCAGGCTCTGAGGGGCTTCGGGCACAGCTCAGGCTGCAGCAGAGGCCCAGAGAGCAGTGACAAGAAAGGGGATGCTGGGGGGAGTCTGCCTGTCCCTGGGGGTGCCATTGTCCCCACTCCCCAACTCCCCTGGCCCTGAGGGAGGCCTGCCCCAGCTCAGGCCCCTGCCAGAGTCTGCCAGGATCCTGTGGCCACACAGCAGGGTCGGGGCCTTGAGGCTGGGGTCCACGACCTCCTAACAGTGGGCTATTGGGAGAAGAAGCAGGGAGCAAGGGAGGACTGAGGGGTGACAGTATCACACTGCCTCTACCTGGAGGCCCAGGGGGCCAGGAGCTGTGGGAGATGGAGGGTGTCTGCAGTCCCGAGGCCCAGAAGTGGCTTCAGCCCTGAAGGTCACCTAGTGCTGCAGGAAATCTCGGGGCCTCACCCCAGAGGTTCCAGGAGACTCCTCTTCCAGCCATTCCCCGCCTCTGGGGGTCTTGTCCTGCCTGGCTCACACCCTGCGCCCTCTCCTGGGGTACTGATACTTAGTACCCAGCACCACTTTCTTCCACCAACCAGAGGAAACGCTCCTGCTCTGGGCAGGCCTCTGCCTCCTCCCACCCCCCAAAGTCCTTTAACGGGGACCCAGGCTTGGTGATATGGCAGGGCTGCCAGCAGGGGGAATGTTGCTCCAGGGGCTAGGGCTAGGGTTGGGGGGAAAGGGACAAGGAAGAAAGACCTGGTGACTGTCCTGCTCCTGAGGCCAGGGCTCCTCCCTCCTGCCAAACCCGTGCCTCTCCCATTGGCTGCAGGCTTTCACCTGCTGGTCCCAGGCTGGACGCTCCCATGGGCCCCGCAGTGTCTCCCCAGGCGGGCCAAAGAAGGGGAGAGAGGGGTGGGAGGCCACAAAGCTGGGTCTCATGGAGGCTTGGCTGAGCCTAGTGAGTCTGTGGTTTGAGATGGACATGGGGGGAGGTGGGGTGGGTGGGCAAGATGCCCTCCTCCCCAGGAAATGGGAGGAGGCTGCTACTGTTGCTGGCTTTGCCCTGGGCTGTGGGGCCCCGCCCCGCCGCCTGAGGATTTATGAGAGGGGCAGGGTCTCTGCAAGGGACAGAGGGGTGTGGCTCCAAGGAAAAGCCTGTGCCCAGTGATGACAGCTGGAAAGAAGGGCCCCAGCAGGGCCTTGGTCCCTCAGCTGAGCCTGGCGGTGGGAGGGCTGAGGGCCTGCTCCCCCTTCACTCCCCCTCCTACACCCAGCGACACTGTCACGGACTCCGCTCGCCTCTTCTCGTGTCTGGGGGAGTCTAGGGGCCATGGGAGAGGAGGGTGGCCATTCCTCCTCCAGCCCCACTGGTCCTGAGGGGTGAGGCCAGGAGAAGAAGGGCACTCCCCTGGGCAAAGTGGAAGACCAAGGACTGGGAGGCCCCCTTCTCAGGGTCTGGAGGGGGCGCCTTTGAGAGCAGGTGGTGGAAGGGGAGTTGGGTGGGGCAGGAGGAAGAGGTCAGGAGACCAGGCCCAGAGGAGGGGGCAGGTGCTGGTAGCCTGGGTGGGGAGGAGTGGGCTGGGGGAGCAAGGTGGGACAGAGGGGTCCAGGAGACATCCCTCAGGGCTCAGGAGACTCTTTGGCCGGATCTGAAGGGCAGATGTGGTGATGTCTCTGTTGGGCTAAGTCCTAAGACCCTCACCTATCCTGGGGCCCTCACCAGAGTCCCACCACCCTGGCCTCCAGGCGGCCCTGCAAATGCTCTGTCTCTTTCTATTTTTTGTTTTCTTCTGTTTTGACTTTTAAAAAAATAAAAGCTTGATCGGAAAATATGTCTGGAACTCTATGGCAAAGGGAGGGGGACAAGAGTGGACAGGAAGGGGAGGGGTGGGCGAGGACGGAGGGGAAGTGGGGAGGGGAGCAGGGCAGCTAGATGGCCTCCACGTAGTTGGCGGGATAGAGGCCCAGCTGCCCGCTGTCCAGCCGCCCGCGGCACCAACCCTGCTCATCCTCCTCGCCCAGCTTGGTGAGCTCATCTCCTAGAAGGGGACACAGGGGAGCTCACTGACAGGGGCTCAGAGAGGGGTGACCCCCAGCCCCACACTGCCCTCCATATCTACTATTATGCTGGGCCCATCCCAGTGCCCACCCCTGCCCCAATGCCCGCCCCCGGAGACCAGCCCCAGCCACACCCAGACACCCACGTGCTGCCCCAGGACACACATCTCATCTGGGGCCCGGCCCTGCACTCAAAGCCAGGCCCCGCCTCCAGCTTCATTTCCCCGGTCCTGTCCGTCCTCGTGGCATCCCCTGCCCCCAGGCCCCGCCCCCAATCCATGTCCCCGCCCCGCCCACCCAAATTGCAGATCCAGACTCCGCCCCTGGCACCCAGCTGCCACTCTCAGGCCCTGCCTTTGCCCTGCAATTCGACTCTTGGCCCCGCCGCACAGGTCACCCTCCAGGTTGTGGCCCCGCCCACGCACCAGGCCCCGCCCCACGCCGGGCTCGGACGCCCCGCCCTCCGTACCAGCCTTGAAGCTGAGCTCATCCTGCTCCTGCCCGTCGTAGTCGTAGAGCGCCCGCACACGCACTCCCTTGGCGTCGTCCTCGAAGGGGTTGGAGCCCCCGTTGGCCTCACTGCCTCCAAATGGGTTCCCGCTCTCGTCGTCCGACCACTCGGTGGCATAAGGCTGGCCCCGGTCGTAGCTGCTAACGCTGAGACGCAGAGAGAGGACCCAGCATGAACTGCCTTCCACCACGTCCCTAGGGCTGCCCCCTCCTACCAACCAAAACCCTCCCAACCCCAAATTCCACCAAGGCTGGAGCAGGCATGGGCCTTGTAAAGGGGGGTCCAGGGCCAGTGACTTATTGACAGCTCTTTAAACAGACGTGAGGCAGGACTATTAGCATTATTACTCAGCCCTTGAGTGAGGGGGTGCTGAAGGGGAACCCAGAGAACCTCTGACGGCTCGTCTGAGAGCGGCAGTACAACCTAGTGGTTAATAGTGAGGATTCTGGAGCCAGACCTCTTGGGCATCATATCGTGGCCCTGAGGCTTACTAACTAGCTGTGTGACCTTGGACAAGTCACTTAACCTCTCTGGGTTTCAGTTTGTCCATCTGTAAAATGGGAATATTTACACACTTCTCAGAGTGCTGGGAGGCTTCTATGAGTTAATATACGGAAAATGCTTAGAACAGTGCCTGGCACACAGTAGGTGCTCTCAAAGGATTAGCTGCCATTGTCTCTGAGAGGAGCACGAGGTTGCTGGGATTTAGATCATTTCTTGTCTCCTGAGGTAACACTCTGCTGCCCCAGTGTGTGGGCCCCTCTGGCCCCAGGAAGCTCCTTAGGAGGCACTCACCTGCCACGGTCCCCAGCCTGGGATGTGGACTCCGCTACCCCAGTGGCATTGGTCAGCGTCACCCCCTCTGCTTTCTTAGGCTGTTTCTCCTTCTTGGTGGTGGTGTGAGGGAGATCTGGGTTCCACTCCTGGTGGGCGCCAGGGGAGCAGTCAGTCTGGGGGGCTGCCCCCTGAGGCCCCTTCCCAGCTTTTCAGACTCCCCTTCCCCATCCCCACACCTCCTCACCTCAAACTGGGGCCAGTTCATGGGCATGCCAGGGCCGCTGGTGCTGCGGAACCACCTGAGGTCGTCCTGGGCGTCGGCCCCTCGGATGGCCTGCTCCAGCTCCCGGTACACGTGGACATAGCTGTGCACAGGGGAGATGGGGAGCTGGGGGGCAAGATGCACCATGGCCCCTTCCTGTCCTCGGTGAGGGCTGGAGCCTACTCAACGGACCAGGGTGCTGGCGTGCCCCCCAGCTAGGAATCAGGCGGGCGTCCCAGGAAGCAATCTCCGTGTGGACGGCCCCGGGCAGGCGCAGCGGGCACCCTTCTCCATCCTCACCTTAGCCACTCACCCATCCGTCCAAGCATGTATCTTGAGTACCTACTGTGCGTCAGCTTGTACCCAGGCAGCCACTGCTTTTGCAGCCTCTTCCCTCTTGGCCCCTACGGCTCTGCCTCCCTCCCTGCTTCTGTCACTATAACACAGGGCCACCGGGGATGCCCTGCACACCCGTCCTACCCTCTGCTGCCCGTGCGTGTGCCCACCACGCTGCCACGCCAGGTACCTGTTATTCTCAGCGAGGTTGAGGTGACGTTTCATGTCCAGCAGCACCTCCTTGAGGAAGACTAGCCGCTTTTCCTCAAATTGCTGGCACTGTTCAAACACCTGCTCCATGCCCTCCATGTACTGGGGTGTGGTCTTGCCCACGTCGTCCAGCACCTTCTCATACTTCTCCTGCGTCTACGGGCACCAGGGCAAAGCGAGCGTGAGCCCCAGGCCTGCAGCTCCCAGCCACCACCCACTCCAGGGGCGCTCGGGGCCCGGCTGGCCGGCACCTTCTGCACATCCTGCTTGCACTTGTCCACTTTGTCCTGTAGCTTCTTCTGCTGCTCGGGGGTGACCGACTGCTCCGTCTTGCTATTCATCTCCCGAGTCACGGCCAGCTTCTCCTCTTTGCAGGCCAGATGGTAGGCCTTCTTGGCTGCCTCCAGCTGTGGGGAGAGGGGCACGGGGCGGGGCTCCTACTTGTAAGCAGGAGCGAACGTGGTCACTCATCAACTCCCCCCACCTGCCCGGAGCTGTGAGCACACGGTCTTCAGAGGCAGAAGGGACGCAGCCCCAGGTCCAGGCATTTGGGAGCAGGGCCCACCCTTCTGTGGATGCTTCCCTGCAAGGCACTGCCTGCTGCCCCTGTGGACACCCTCCCGCTGGACACTGCGGAGCCTGCCCCATCTGTGGAGTGGAAGGCAGTGCTGCTCCCCTGTGGGCAGAGCACTCTGGACCCCTCCTTCTGATCAAAGTGCCCTCTGGGCTAGGCCGCCCACCCTCGCCCCATCTGCGGCAGCCGCCCACCGGGCACCTCCTTCATCTTCTTGGCCCAGGGCTTCTGGGCCTTCCGGAAGCCATCTTCAGCCTCCTTGGTCTCCTTGAAGCCGCCCATGATCTGCTTGTGATAGGCGTCCTTCTGCCAGTTCTTGACCTTCTCCAGGTCCTCGTTCAGCAGGCTGTTCTTCATCTCTTGGTGCAATTCGCTCACCTTGTCTGCCTCCGTCATCATGGCACCCCAGGCCCGCTCCAGGCTGCCATACTGTGGGCCTGGAGAAATGACCACGGGGTCACCAGGCCCTCATCACCCCCTGCCCAGAGGCCCCCCTCATGCCTCCTTTCTCTGAGGTTTTCCCCATACCTCCCATGGCAGCAAAAATGCCCGCCTCTGCTCTCCCTATAGTTTTATCTCCCAGGGCCCAAGTATAGCCACCGCCTCCAGGAAGCCTCTGACTGCTCTATCGTCACACACCTCAGCCTACAGCCCTCACTGAATTCTTCTTATAGCATCTGCCTCTGTGCCTACTCCCTGTCTCCCCTATCAGCTTGTGAGCCCCATAGTGGGCAGCCTGGACCCAATGAGCTCTCACAAGCCCAGCACAGCAGCAGGCATACAATAGGCGCTCCAGGAATATGGGCTGAAGGTAAAATTGAAGAACCAACTGGTGACAGATGCCAGGAGGCCACTGGGACCAAACATTCCACAGTCATTTGTTCGTCTGTAGCCTGGGCATCAACTCTGGGCCAGGCACTGTGCTAGGCATTATGGGCCAAGCCCCTGCCCTCATGGCGTTTAGAGTCTAGTGGAAGAGAAAAACATTAACCAATACATGTAAACCCCAACTTGAAACTCTTCTAGATTAAAGGAATCTAGAGACATGACAACTACATGCAATATGAGATTCTGGATTGGATCCTGGGCCAGCATAAACAAGTGCTATAATAAAATTTGTATATGGGCCATATTAAGTGTCCTGAATTTGATAGCTGAACTATGGTTACGTAAGCAAATGTTCTCTCAGGAGATATACCAAGAAGTCAGGAAGAAGGGACATGTCTCGAACTTACATGGTTCAGAAAAAATATGCATATAAATAGAGAGAAAGTGAGAAAACTAACGTGGTAAAATGTTAACTGGTGAATCTGGGTGAGGGGTATATAGTTCTGTGTACTATTCTTGCAAATTGTCTCTAAATTTAAATTATTTCAAAATAAAAAGTTGTGGGGTTTTTTAATCCAACCTAAAATTGTACAAAGTAGAGTTGAACAGAGACAGGGAGGCCTGGCTTGGTCTGGGAGGGGAAGAACGCAGGTGTGGGGACAGCGCCCGCGGAGGCCCCGTGGCTGAAGGATGCAGGCGCATCCCGGTGGCTGGCACTCCCCAGACCCAGACAGTCGGGGGCTGGTGAGCCTGGGGTGCGCGCCAGGGGTGGGGGTGCGGCGCACCTTTCTCGATGAGCTGGCGCCAGCGCTTGGCCCAGTCGGTGAGCTGCTGCGCGTACGCCTTCTCGATCTTGGCGCGCTCCTGCACGCAGTTCATCAGGTCGTTGCACAGGCGGTGCCCGTCATCGATGCGCTTCACCGTCCGCTTGTAGTTCCCCACCTGGCGGCCAAGCAGCGAGCGCGACTCCCGCGAGCTCCCCGCCTCCTGCCCCGCCGCCCGCCGCCCTGCAGGGGGCACCCGCCGCGTCCATCCCCACCGCCCTCTCCCACCCTTCACCGCTTCGCCGCCACGCGGGGACGCACTGGGCCTCCGGACCCTCCCACTTTCCGAGGCCTCGGCACCCTGCATCGCATCCCACCGTCTGCACACTCCTCCATCCCATTTTAAACGTAATTTCCTCGCTGCCACAAAATGTGTAAGGATTTTTATAATTTGGACTTGGACTAGAATGAATTGTTCATTTTGTTCTTGTGAGCTAAATCTATTATATTTATATAGAGTCATATAAGCGTTGAGTTGAGCTGCAGCTTCTTGACATAATATTATGTTTTGCAGACATCTCATTAAACACTTATTAATTTAGATTTGGCAGTTTTCTCTTTGGGTTTTGGAAGCCAACAGAAAAAATGTTTTTCTGGGTCTCAGATATTTTGGGAGGCTCCTGAAATCCTGGCTTCTAGTCTGGTCTCCACCACTATGTTGCTGTGGGGCTCTCAGGACTTACCCCACTTCTCTGTGACCCATGCTCGACCCCCTGCCCACTTCACTTCAGCTGTGAAAGGCTATGTACACTGTCAAGTGCATGCCTGCCTGTGTGAATGCCAGGAGTCTAAGCTAGGGCCCCCAGAGCAGAGGGTCAAGAGGGCCTGTTCCACATTATGAAAGACTGCAGGATCTCTCCAGGGGCAGCTGTGGGGCAGAGGGGCTCCAGATTCAGTGGGCAGTCATTTTCCCCCCCTTTATGGCTACCACTGCCCATTAGACATAGGGTTTTGGAGGGGCCAAGGGGCTGGGGAGTAAGGCTTGAGGTCATGGGGTGGGTGGGAGCCTAGTCCTCCACATGGCCAGGCTGTCTGGTCCCCAGGACCTGGGGAACATCGAAGCCTCACCTCCCAGAAGCTGTCGGTGGTCTCCTCTGGAGCTAGTGAGGCCTCATCGTAGGAGCCGGACATGGTGTGGCCGTGGGGGGATGGACAGTTGTGGAGCAGTGGTCACCAAGCTGGGCTGCTCATATGCTGGGAGGGCAGGAGAGAGATCCCTGGAGATGAGGGAAGAGCCCCCGTGGGCCCCATTCCAAGCCTGGGGCCCCAACTTGCTGTGGGGATGAGGGCTCCGCAGGCATGAGCCTCGCATCGGGATGGGGACTTCCTGCCCAGGGACTGGCTCACCATCCCTAGGGTGACCCCAAGATTCACCCCTAGTACCCCTCGTGCCCACCTCCCCTTCTGTCCTCCAAGAGCCCTTCACTCTATACCCTCTCCTTCCTCCCTCCCCCAAATCCGTGCTCCTGCTCCCACGTGGGCACTTCTTCTCCGAAGCCTGCCCCCACCACCAGAGCCATGGTGCCGGCAACTGTTTTGTGCTCCTGGACTCATAGAGCTAGAAGTTGGGGCCAGAAGTTAGAAGTTAGAAGTTGCATATTTGCTTTATCTAAATCTGCGGTTTGCTCCGTAGACACACACAGCTCCTCAGAGCCAGCAGTCAGGCCCATCTGCATGCAGGTCCTGCAGCCCCTCCCCAGGGCCTGGCACTGGGGCTCAGTGAACCCTTGCTGGCTTCTCTGCCCACCTCATCACTGCCCACTCTGACCCAGCTGGATCCTTGCGCCAGGCCCAAAACACCCTCCTCAGCTCCCCCACCCAACGCAGAGTCCCTGGTCTTGCCTCCAGATCCTCCCTGAACCCCCCACCTGGAGCTTGGACCCAAACCCCCTGGGAAGCTGGCAGCAGGGCCCCCTCCCACCTCTGGCCCAGGCTGAGTGCCTCCTCAGTTCTCTGAGCTGCCGGGCCTCTGTAAATGCCCTTCTGACTGCCCTGGTACCCAGCCTCAAAAGCCTCCATTAACGGGCCGGCCCCGTGGCTTAGCGGTTAAGTGTGCGCGCTCCGCTACTGGCGGCCGGGGTTCGGATCCCGGGCGCGCACCGACGCACCGCTTCTGAGGCCACATCCCACATACAGCAACTAGAAGGATGTGCAACTATGACATACAGCTATCTACTGGGGCTTTGGGGAAAAAAAAGGAGGAAGATTGGCAATAGATGTTAGCTCAGAGCCGGTCTTCCTCAGCAAAAAGAGGAGGATTAGCACGGATGTTAGCTCAGGGCTGATCTTCCTCACAAAAAAAAAAAAAAGCCTCCATTAACCACTTACATGTCTCCTATGAGTCCTGGACATGCAGCTTCCTGGCCCACAGCTCAGACCACCGCGATCTGTTTGAGTATCAGGCAGCTGTGTGTGCCCTGGATCTGTCGGCTAGCATCATGGCTGGCCAATGTAGGCAGTGTGCTGCCTCAGGGCTGGAGGGGGCACTGCCCTCCTCCCATCCCCCACCCAGGCCTTGCTGCCACCTCAGGCAAGAATGGCTCAGTAGTCAGGAGACAGGACCCAGAGGGCCAGGGGCCTGGTCTTCAAAGGGGCAGCGAGTCCAGGCCGGGCCTGACCCCACTAGGAGCTGCCAGCCTCCAGCAGAGGACAGGCAAGGGACAATCAGGGGACACCTTGCTGCCTCTGCACTGTAGAGGACTATGAACCCTGACCAATGAGGACGCTGGGTGAGGGCTAGCCTCTGCAGGATTCAGCCCAAACTGGGGGTCCAGCGGACCCCCACCCCTCACCAGTAGCTAGCCCTCAGGCTCAGAGCAGATGGTACCAACGTGTGGGGATCGCTGGTCAAGAATGTCCCTCCCCCTCTCTGGCCTCAGTCTCTCCATCTGTCCAGGGGCTAGTGCTCTTTTCCCAGTAATAACCCAGTATTGCCTCTTTGATTCTCTCAAGCACTAAATATACTTTGTTCCTTTCCCCTTAGCAAAACCTCAGACAAACTCCCACAAACTCATTCACAGTCGGGGTGAGTGAGAGAAAGGGTGACTGGATTTCATCAAGGGACAAGAAAAGAGTCTCAATTTTTTTCTTCTTAATTTGGCACTTTTCACTTATAAAGCAGTACTCGCTTCATAAAGACCACTTTGAATTTAGGCATGGAGAAGTAAAAGGCAGGGATATTTGATGAAGGACTTTCAGCCAGCTTAGGTGAGAATCCCTGGGGCCAGAGCCCGGTCCAGAACCCTTGAAGTCACAGAGAACTCTGCTCTTTGGGGTCCTCATAACGTACAGCTTGTCAGCGGGCTGGCGGTGGGGGCAGGAGCAGGGTGGAGGGTAGGGACATTTCCTCATGGGAGTGAAGGGCGAACCCACCCCTGGTAGTGGGGAAGTGACCAGACACAACCTCAGTGGGGCGACTTGGTGCTCTCTCCCGCCACTGCAGAGGTACACATCCTTCTCCCAACAGCCCCGCTCCCAAGAATTTACCTTCCAGCCAGCTGGGCGAACTGAGGACGCCCAATTTCATTTACTGCAGCACTGCTTGTAAAAGCCAAAGGCTGGAAACAACCCAGATGCCCGTCCAGGGACTGGTTAAGTAAATTATGGTGCAGGCCTGCAACGGAATGCTCTGGTCCTGAATGGAACTGTCCCCAAGCCATGCCACTAAAACAAAACGAGCAAGGTGCAGAACAGTGTGGCTGTGATGCTGCCATTTGTATGGGGGGAAATATGTTAGCAGGGAATATTTTTGGAAAGCTGGTAATGGTGGTTGCCTTCAGGGAACTGGGTGGCTGGGGGATGGGGTGGGAGGGAGATTTTTCACTGTAGGTCCTTTTGTGCCTTTTAAATTTTGCCTTGTGTGCATAAACTGCATATTTTTTAAAACCCTCCAGCTTGTGTTGGAGGAGAGCCAAGGGTGCACTCGAAGCATGGAAGGAGGGGACAGTGCAGCTAAGACCTAGCATGTCAGGCTAGAAGAGAACGCACAATGGTGGAGACCACTCTCCACCTTGTCCAGACCCAGGGAGGGTGGACTTGCTGTGGTCCCTCCCTCAGTGCAGGCAGGTACCGGGTCTCCCGGGCCCCCAGCAGAGGTAGCATGTGTAGTGAAAATAGCTGTAGCCTTGGGGTCCCTGCTCGGCCACCAAACTGCTGTGTGGCCTTGGGCAATTCACATGGCCTCCCTGGACCTTGCTGTGAAATGAGGATGATAAGACCCAATTTAAGAATTAGAGGGGACAGGGCCGGCCCTGTGGCTTGGTGGTTAAGTGCGCGCGCTGCGATGCTGGTGGCCCGGGTTTGGATCCCGGGTGTGCATCGAGGCACCACTTCTCCGTTCATCCTGAGGCTGAGTCCCACATACAGCAACTAGAAGGATGTGCAGCTACGACATACAACTATCCACTGGGGCTTTGGGGGGAAAAAATAAAATAAATAAAATCTTTAAAAAAAAAAAAAAAGAATTAGAGGGGACAATGCGAGTCCAGTCCACTCCAGACCAGGGCTGTGCCCACACAGAATTGGCTCAGGGAGTGGATGTGGGAGGGGGCGTGTGAGCCCCCCAGCACCACACAACCAGACCCCCCATCCCACCCTGCCCCCACCTCCTCCAAATCAGCCCCACACCCCCACCCTGGGGGCACGGGGGAGGCTTAATTCTTACCAAGTGCTCTCAATTCCTTCCTGAATGGCAGTCAGGAGCTGCCATCACGGAAAACCTGCACTTCTCAGAGCCAGGAGGCTGGTGTGGCTGGTATCTGCCACTCCCCATGGGCAGGCCCGGTACACTCAGCTTTCGTCAACCCATCAAATGGGCACAAGGCCCATCCGACTTTCTGCGGCCCTCAAAGCCCTTTATCATGAATAACGATAGCTGGCAGTTATGGAGCACACACTTGCCGCCAAGGACTGTTCACATGTCTTAACTCATCCAATCCCCACGAGAACCCTGTGAGGTGGGTGCTGTTATCACCCCACACTGTAGACGGGAGCCCCGAGGCTGAGACATGACGGAAAGAGTTTGCCAGCTCTCATTACCCATTTGTCACCATCGCTGTTGTAGTGGGGGGTGGTCCCATTGCAGGGTGGGCCCTCTCTGTGGAGCCTGGGGAGGTGCCAGGCCTCTCTTCCCATGAGGACAGTGTAGCCCTCGGCCTGCAGAACGGGGGGGCCTGGGACCCTGGCTCCAGCCTACCCCCTGCTGGTGAGATCTTGGCCAAGCCCCTTCAGCTGGGCCTCAGTTTTCTAACAGGTATGGTGGAAAAAATACTTGAGTTTCTTTGGAAGATCAAATGATAAAAGAGTAGTAGCTCTTTTTTGAAAAACACAGACCACTGTGGAAATGTCCCGTGTTCGTCCTGGCCTTCACCTCTCCTTTAGGGAGAAAGGAACCCCAGGGTGAAAGGTGCTGCCCTCAGGCCCCAGGCCTGCTGCACTGCCTCTCACAGACCCCGGAGGGCAGGGGCCCTGGTCGTGGTCTGCCTCCCCCTGGCCTGCAGCAGGGACAGAGAATGAAGAGGGCGAGCCCAGAGAGGGCAGGCCTGGCGTGGACGGCGCAGAGTGGACTCCTGTGTCTTCAGTCACTAACAACCACAGGCCTCTGACCCCAGTGCCTCGTTCTCCTCCCACCCGGCCCAGTCCATTAGCAGATCCTGAGGTCGACTTTCCACCACCCTGGTCCCAGCCCCTATCCCCTCCCTCTTCACTGGTCTTCCCGCCTCTGACCTTGTTTGTCTCCCTCCAGCCCCAGTCTGCTCCCCACACAGCAGCCAGAGGGAAGTGGGGACACCTAAGTCACATCCCACCGTTGCCCTACTCAGAATCCTCCTGTGGCTCCCATTTCAGAGCAAGAGTCCAACTCCTTGCCGAGAGGCCCTGCGTGACCTGCTGTCCCACCCCTCACCCCTCTACCGTCACCTTCCACCACTCTCACTCTCCTCTAGCTCCACTGATTTCCCTGCTGTTCTAACCCCAGGGCCTTTGGACCTGCTGGAATAGTCCCCATCCCAGATTTCCAGCTCTGCTCAAATGTCCTGGCCTTGCCCCATTTAAACTTGCAATCCTTTTCCACCTCCAGCACTCCCCTCCCTTTCCTCACTTTATTATTACCCACAGTACTTGCCACCATGTGACAGGCTCTTAACATTACAGTATTCATCATGTTTAGTGTCTTCCCCTCCCACTAGAATGTCAGC